TTTCATTTCAGTATGTAAAACCTCTGAAAAGAAAATGAAAGGAAACTGCAAATAATTGGAATTTTTCTAAGTCCACCGGGCATAACTCTGTCAACAAGAGGCCCATGGGCCACATCGCTCACCTGAGCACTGTGGCTAGGAAAAAGTAGAAATCGGTTTATTATTGAAAAGTTTAAATCAAGAAGTAGTCCCATGACCAATCATGGCCTTGCTATTCTTGAGAAGAAGATTTTTAAAGAATTTTCCTATATATTTCTATGTAAAACTTTGGTCGGCCATTGTGGCCCCGCCCTACCCCTGGGGGTCATGATTTGAAGAAACATGAATCTACACTACATTAGGATGCTTCCATATAAATATGATGAATTATGGCTTTGTCATTCTTGAAAAGAAGATTTTTAAAGAATTGTCCTTTATATTTCTATGTAAAACTTTGGTCGGCCATTGTGGCCCCGCCCTACCCCGGGGGGTCATGATTTGAATAAACTTGAATCTACATTACCTGAGGATGCTTCCATATAAATATGATCAATTATGGCTTTGTCATTCTTGAGAAGAAGATTTTTAAAGAATTTTTCTATATATTTCTATGTAAAATTTTGGTCGGCCATTTTGGCCCCGCCCTGCCCCCTGGGGTCATGATTTGAATAAACTTGAATCTACACTACCTGAGGATGCTTCCATATAAATATGATCAATTATGGCTTTGTCATTCTTGAGAAAAGGGTTTTTAAAGAATTTTACTATTTATTTCTATGTAAAACTTTTGTCGGCCATTGTGGCCCCGCCCTACCCCCTGGGGTCATGATTTGAATAAACTTGAATCTACACTACCTGAGGATGCTTCCATATAAATATGATCAATTATGGCTTTGTCATTCTTGAGAAGAAGATTTTTAAAGAATTTTCCTATATATTTCTATGTAAAACTTTGGTCGGCCATTTTGGCCCCGCCCTACCCCCTGGGGTCATGATTTGAATAACATGAATCTACACTACCTGAGGATGCTTCCATATAAATATGATCAATTATGGCTTTGTCATTCTTGAGAAGAAGATTTTTAAAGAATTTTCCTATATATTTCTATGTAATCTACAGTACCTGAAGATGCTTCCATATAAATATGATCAATTATGGCTTTGTCATTCTTGAGAAGAAGATTTTTAAAATATTTTCCTATATATTTCTATGTAAAACTTTGGTCGGCCATTGTGGCCTGCCCTGCCCCCGGGGGTCATGATTTGAACAAATTTGAATTTACACTACCTGAGGATGCTTCCATATGAGTTTCATCTTTTCTGGCCCAGTGGTTCTGGAGAAGAAGATTTTTATAAGATACCATTAATTTTTCATTAATTCATAATTATCTCCCCTTGGAAGGGGGCTTGGCCCTTCATTTGAACAAACTTGAATCCCCTTTACCCAAGGATGCTTTGTGGCAGGTTTCGTTAAAATTGGCCCATTGGTTTTTGAGAAGAAGTCGAAAATGTGAAAAGTTTACAGACAGACGGACGGACAGACGGACTACAGACAAAATGTGATCAGAAAAGCTCACTTGAGCTTTCAGCTCAGGTGAGCAAAAAAATGGTGCGATCGTACCCAATGCAAATATAAGTAATAAAAAATGATTATTCAGTGAACATGGCATTATGAATAGCAATTGCTCTGCTGGCATATTACATGATGCGCATCATGGAATATGCTAGTAGAGCAATTGCTATTCATTAAATGCCATGTTCACTGAATAATGTTGTATATGTAATAATTTTTCAATCTGGTATCTAAAACTCACTTCTTTAGAGTAACTGTTCCTGAGATTTTCTCCCAAGCAAATGTACCATTTTCAATCACAACAGCATCTTCTGAAATTACAAAACATTACATTGTGCCATATACATAATTATTATGAATTATTTTGAATTATTAATGTCTTTATTATTCATATATTAAATCTGTGCAATAAATTGCTAACTACAAGAATAAACAAAATGTGTTTGTGAAACACTATGCGCCATGCAGCAACAAAGCTCAAAAAAGCTATTTTTAGCATAAAGGTCAAGGTCAAAAGTACATTTACCTTGGTATCATTTGAAAGAACTTAATTAGTGGAGTATGCATACCAAATATGAAATTTCTGTCTCCTTATGGTTTAAAAGTTATGGTGAAAGTTCGAAAAATCTATTTTTAGCATATAGGTCACAGTCAAGGTCATAAGGTCATTGATGTTGGTGTCATTTGAAAGAGTTTAATTAATTAGTGGAGTATGTATACCAAATATGAAGTCTCTATCTCTCATGGTTCAAAAGTTATGGAGAAGGTTAAAGTTGACAACAGACAGACAGACGGACTACAGACACAAAATGTGATCAAAAAAGCTCACTTGAACTTTCAGCTCAGGTGACCTAAAAATGTATTTTTCAATGGTTCAAATAACATGTGTTCATGTTTATTTATATCATTCTGCAATCTATTGGCTGTAATACTGGTCACCTTGTCAGGTTAAATATTCATCACAGGGGTTTTAACTGACCACCATTAGAGACAAAAGTTCTTTAGCCATTTGAGGGCTCTTTCAGTGCAGTTAACACTTTTTTTCACTCTCTATTTCCATGTAATATGGGTGATTTGGGTGATATACTGACTTAAAAACACAGACCAATTGCCTAAAGGCAGAACAGGAGGGACTTCTTCATTGGAAATCTCGGACATTGTTAAACTCTTCACTGGAGAAATACAGTCTCAATTCAAAACTTTCTCGGAGCAGTTAAAAGTAGAACAGTCCTAATCTATTTCAAAGAAACTCAAGGAAAATAACTACATAACATAAAGTCTGAAGGCAACCGAATTCAGTTTGAATTTAATGCCAAATTACTGAGACATACTTTTTTCCACGGGCTCATAATTCCGCAGAATCTCAATTTCTATTTAATCCGCAGGTTGAAAATTACGCAGATTTCTTAGACTGTCACTATATGCCATGCAATTATATTAAATACACTTTGACAAATTTCCGCGGAAAATTTGTAACCACGTACATAGCGTAAATTAATACCACGCGGTAAAAAGTACTTCTACAGTACTAGAGGGTTTAGAGAAGCTGGAGTCAAGAGCCTTTGATTTAAAGGATTCTGAATCATTAAAAATTATTTCTAACTTAAGTAAAATATTGAAAACGTGTCAAAAGCATACACACATTGCTGACAAACGTCTCCCATGGGTTGGAAAACCGTAAACAAATACCAGTGTAATGAAATTTCAGACAACTCTGATGATGCAAAGAAGATTCGCAGTGCCAAAAATAGGGCCCTCAGACATCAGAAGCAAAACAAGAGATTTCAGCCTTACGGTACACAGAAAACACCATCAGCAGCAGCAGAAGGGTTCGACACTAACGCTAGCCCGCTGGCCCGGGACAACTGAATAACGAGGTCGGGCTACCAAATATGTCTTCAAACTAGCCCTGCAGGGCTACAGTAAATTTTAACAATTACTCACTAAGAGCAAGAAAATAATTATAATTTACACACAACATACCTGATAATTGTTAAATTTATTTTCAAACATGTTTTATCATCATAATTATTATTTTTGTAAGTCAAAATGTAAACTTAAAGGGTAAATCGAAATACCCTAAATGATTATAAATATTGAATTTTTTGAATAGAAAAATGTCTTAGGTACAATCATAGAGTGACATATAATGTTTACCCAAAATACAGCCAGAATGCAGGATTTTGCATCTCTATTTTCAAAATTTCCTGAAGGAGGCCCCCCGTACCCCCACCAGCAGGAGGGGGAAACCCCCTCCCGCACCTACCCCCTCGTCGCTTCGCGACTCGGCCACCAGCCTTCGGCTGTTGGACAAGTAATACATGAATAGGGCTAGTAGAAATTAGAAATGGCTAGCCCTGCTGACAACTATGGTTTTAAAGTTAGTGTCGATCCCTGAGCAGTGGGATCTCATGCTCAGTTGGCTCTTCCCGGGGTCAAAACATTTTTTTAGAAATTCTTGACGCTATGTTGTGATGTTACATTGCCATTAAGTGTGCTCCCTGGGTACAAAACTTGTTGATATTAAAATGAATTAAATTGATTTCTGTTAAATCGAATAGAATGAAACTTCACACATCAATCAAGGCCATAATAAAAATATTCCTAGATTCTATACCCCCGCCTCGATTTTTTAAATTTCTGTTTTCTTCGTCTTAACTCTGATCGGGGTTGGTATTATTCATCTACCATTCTACTTTCGTTTTTAAATCCCGTGAAAGTCGACATGATTTTGACAGCTGAAAAGATGGTAAATGCTGTAATACATGCACATATATTTTAAACAAAGGTCATTGGTTGAAAAAGATTGGTGATGATGTGAAGTAAGAGATAATTGAACCTTAACTATGACTTTTATTTGGGTATTGTAGATAAAATTACACCGATTGACCAGGTCAATAAAAAATCTGGAAAATTGAAAAAATAAAAAATATAAAATAAAAGCCACCCCCCCACTTCAATTTTTAAAAAAATTCGGATGAGAATCTAGCAAATTTATTTATTATGGCCCAAACAAACAATTTTATGTTTATATTGACATGCTTATTTTAAATTTCAAAGATTGACGACCACAAACTTTTTGAATAACCCTCAAATTTCGATCCTTTCCACAGTCTACGATTTTTCAAAATTACAAATCTGCAGAAATTAAAGCTGAATTTGTCTCATCAGAAATATCCCAGTTAATCAAGAGAGGTTGTGTTGTAGAAGTTACATACATACCATAGATTGCAAGCTCTCTTTGTGTCACAGAAAACAGTTTATTCTCAAAAATAACAGGATACGAAGTTGAATTATAACTGAATTTATTCAATACTATGTTTGCCTTTAGGGCTCATGCTACAAACCAAGAATAAATATACAAAGTACTTTAGATGGAAATGGAATACGTCAGGATAACAACAATATTGAAAGCTTCGCATTACTCCGTGAAATGAATATAAATGCAGGCTGAGGACAAGTAGGCTTGTCTATGTGTCGCCATGTTCATTAGCACATGATGAGAAGTATGTAGCAGGTTGGTTACCTGAGTAAGATGCAGGCTGAGGGCAAATGTTGCCTATATGAACATGAACACTAGCACCTGAGAAATCAGAGTAATTCTAACATTAAAAGTATATGCTCGTATGTAAATAAAACTAGTTCAATGAGTATTCCATAACCAATAAAGCATGGCTCAATTAAAAAAAAAATTCCATGCTTGGGAAAAAATTAATGGTATAACCATTGTGTAAGCCAAAAATGCAGATGGATTGGAATCTGTCACAGATGACAAGACAGCTGCATGAGCCCAAGTATGGGAAAATAAATATAAACATTTATGTTGTAGTAAAATGTTGCAATTGGTTCACGTAAAAATTGACCTTTTAAGTCATGCACTTAAACATGATAATAGAAATCGTCTTAATGACAAGTTACAGTAATACAAACTGCTATCTTGATACTAATAATGAAATTATTTCTGACTATTTAACATGCTATGCTGAGCATCTCTAAGTACTAACTGAGGGGTTTGAATGTATCTAGTGTAACAATCTGAAGACCATCTACCTAATGATTTGATTAGATGATCTTCCATCCTAGCGCATGCTGCCGAAGTGGCTGCCCCTATCCGAAAAGAATGTCCTTTGTATTTTGTAGAATCCACACCTACTCTGTCTAAAACTTGCTTTAAACATTCAATGAAAAAGGTTCAATTGACTGGAATATCAACATTTGTTACAAAAAATGGTTCATCTTTTAAAGCCTTGGAATATTTTCGAAATTGCATGTACTTGCAAATTGCTTTAACTGGACAAACGTCTGAGTCATTTGAATACAAAACAATATTTGTGCCTCTATGAAACCTATCTGCTTTTGATGTTTTCAAAAATATTTTCACGATTTTTTCTTGAATTTGTACATCTTGACAAGTTAAATGACAAGTAGGGTCAAAGTTGGTTCGAATTGTTAACTCGCCACAACGGAAAAAACCAAAAAAAGCAACAGTATACATAGCTTCGAGTAAAATGTTTGTGTAGACATCAAAAACATCTTTTCTCAATGTTGAACAATTTTTTTGCAAAATATCAACAGTTATTGGGAGTCTAGTTAATTGTTTCGAATTTGATTCAGTTTTTCTTATGGCATTCAAAATCAACTTCAAACGCGCCATCGATTGACAATTTGACTGAAAAGGATTTGGTATGCCTTTCTCTAAATATGTAAATCTAATAACACTTAAATACAACTTAATAGTGGTGTATTTTAAAGACAACGTATGCTGACAATAGGCTACAAAATACACAAGACGTTCCTGTGATATAGGTGGGAAACTATGATCAAAACTAACATTGTACATAGCTAAAAATTGTTTATACACTTGAAAACCTTGCTGATAAACAGTCCTGGTGTTCACCGAGATAGATTTGTCCATCAATTCTGTCACTACTTGTTGAAGCTCCACATTACTTGCGATATGTCCGGACATGGTGTCGGTGTCTGGTCTCCAGAGGTGCAGCTTGTCTGAAACGCTGAATCTGTAATCGAGATAAAGAATCAGCTATGACATTTGATTTACCCGGTACATGTTCACTATAAATATCAAAATTGCTTTTCGCAGCACAATAAGACAGGGTTCTCATCAAATTTGAAATTGGTAAGTCTGATGAGCGACGTTTTTTGATTACCACTGCAGAGTTATCACAATGAAAGAGAATTCGTTTTCTCCTGCGTTGTCCCCATAGCAAAGCAGCAACTACTATCGGATGCAACTCTCTAAATGCCATGGAGATAGGTTGTTTCATACACTATTCTTGTGGCCAGCATTCAGCAAACCAATGTCCCTGAAAATATCCTCCATATCCTATGGTAGAGAAGGCATCTGTATACAGTTGAAAATCTGCATTACCTGTTAGTGTTTTCTCATAAAAAACGGAAAACCATTTCACTTCTCCAAGAATTCGAGCCACATACCTAGACCTTCTCTACTTTCTTTATCAAATTTTATGTAGAAATTTAAGTTATCTACAGTGGTTGATAAGGCAATTAGATGCGAGGTGAAAGGCCGTCCTGGTAAAATTACTCTAGCTGCAAAGTTAAAATGACCAAGCAACTGCAATGATTGTCTTTTCGGCACAGATCGACAGTTCAAAAAGTCTTTGATGAATTTACACTTTTTCTAAAGGCAGTCTTGCTTCCATTTTATTGGTATCCAATATAATGCCTAAATACTCCAAGCATTGGGTAGGTCCTTCTATTTTCTTTATAGACAGAGGAATATTTAAACGCTTGAATAGAGTACAAAGCAAAGCCAATGTTCTTTCTCCAATCATATCCGATTTATCAATAGAGAGAAAAGCATCTAATAGATGAAACATATTGTCAATGCCATAGTTGTTTTTGGCTACCAACATATAACTTGTGATAAACAGTCAAAAATCCTTGGAGAACTGCGACTTCCAAATGGTAAACGTACAAAGTAGTAATGTTGGTTTGTCCTTTTAATACATACATGTAATAAATACCATAACGTTGGATCCACGGGTATAAGCTTGAAGGCATCACTTATGTCTGTTTTGCATAAAATAGTATTTCTTCCGAATTCTTGAATCTTTTTAATAGCATGGTCCACTTTGACATATCTTAGTGAACACTTGTCTTTTTCTATTAAATCATTTATACTGTCTATTTCACTGTTCTCATGTGGTGAGGAAAGATCGAAAATTAATCTTTTCTTTCCCGAGTATTTTCCTGTTGCAATTCATATCGGACTCACTCTGTATTTTGAAAATGGCAAAATGTCTATTGGACCCACTAAAAATCCCTTTTTAACTTCAGCATCAATCAATTGTTCTACTGTATGTGGGTCCTTTCTTGCTGTTTTAAGGTTCCTGTGTTCAATAGATTAATCAATGTTAACATCATATCCCATAAATATGTCAAAACCATTACTTAGTCCGTCTATTAAGTATTTAACAAAGTTTTTGTCTGGATGATTGGCTAGTTCCATTTGTAATCTCTCAACATTTATGGGAGTTGTTACCTTCATATTGGTCTCAATTTCTTTGTCTAGTTCATTTAGGTTCACTCGGTGATTTCTTTGATTTGACATTCGATTTTGTTTTCTCTGCATTTAATTCTGAGCATTTGCTTCTTCCATGTTTAGGAGACATGCATGAAGCCCTTCTGCAATAAGGTAAGGCACATCTTGTGTAATTAAAGTTATTGCAAATCGGCATGCCCTCATGGTATAAAATTTGGCGATCGTACTTGTCTCTTCGCTGGTTTTTTTAGAAATATATAGAACAAATCTTTAAAAATGCTTTACATCATCTGTACTTTTGCTTTCGACATTCTAAAGTTTTAAAACACATGGAAGTGACGCATGAGTATAGTAGAACTGCAAAGAACTGTCACAAGAATTAACTTCTGCCCCTGCAACTATTCTTTTCAGTAATTCATCGTCTCCCTTTGACCAGTCAATCAAAATGTTTCTCTGTTTCAAGGTAATCGCACATTTAGCAGAAAATAACTTGTGATATTTGAAGAACTTGGTGGGCCAAATGTTGTTTACTTCTATGATGTGAGCTAAATATCCATCAAGTTCATTTTGTCTCCAGGGGTATGCTGTTGGCCCGGCACACATGATTCGTTTGTAACGGTAAAATGCCGTAACAAATTCCCTGATAGACAAATTTCTACTCAAACGTTTATCCGGCTTGTCCTCTTTTTTCTCCGTTTGAATCTCAAAAGAAGGAATTAATAGCGCACACAGATTGACATCATCTCCTCTTAGAATGTTCTTACGTAGATCTGTCGAAACCAAATCAACATGGCCAACTTCTTTTGAAGAGACACCCATATTATTGTGATGCGACGAAGAAAATGATTGAGCACCTGAATATCCTGTGGCTCCACTTGTTGTAGGTGACTCAGTGACTGTATTCTGTAACGCGGTAAATTTCTGTAATGGGTTGTCTTCTTCTTTCTCTTTGTCTTTTTGAAGTAACGATGTTACAGTATTTTGTAAAGCCGTACAAGACTTCGCCATCATCTGTAACGAGGAAAACAATGCCTGTTGGCCGCCATTGTTGTTTTCATTTACGTCATTTCCGCCCAAGTCTATTTCCCGCGGTCTGTCAATCACGTGGTCTCGTTTGTTTTCGTTGTATAATTGTCTTAACAAAGTCGCGGACAAACCCTTAGGAGCGGCAATCCCCAAACCATTTAACTTCTCACGTAGTTCGGCAATAGTCCAATTCAAAGGATTGTTTCTGTCTAAGTTCCGCAACATATTGGAAGCTAACACTGTGTCAGTTTCGGGTTCAGACTCCGACATTGGTTGGTCAACTTGTGGTTCTTCTGTTGCCAATCTCGATCTTTTTCTTCTTATATTTCTAGGCATAGTGAAATAAATAAACACAGTACATACGAGATATGAAACATAAATTGTCCTCGATAATTAACCCGTGTAGTAAGTATATTAGGTTACTTCGTGAGTAATCACAGTTACCGAGTCAGAATGTAAACAATCACATAAGTTATATTCCAAAGAAATACACTTCAAACCATTAAGATATCACTTTACACAGTTCGAGAAGTCATAGTAAATCCATAGTAATCACAAATAAAGATAGGTAATAAAGTTATTGAACTGTAAAAATGAAAACACAACTGTACTTTTGATAGACGCTTATAGAATGACTGACAACTGATATGATTGGTCAACTAAGCCACGTGACTTGTGTATAGAGGTACCCCAAGGGAAAGTATGGAGGTACAACAAGGAAAGCGATGCAAAGTGTGATAACTTGTTATTTTGATAATAAACTTTGATTATAACATAATCAATAAGTAAAAAAAAGAGCATTGTTGCAACCACTATTGAAATAACGACCACTATTGAAATAATTATATCAATAGTGGTTGAGAGTGCATTTCAAAAGCAAACATAGTTAGTAACCTTTATTGAAATACATCCACCATTGAAATAATTATATCAACTAGAAAAGAAACTCGTTGCGAGCAACGAGAGGTCTTCCGTCCGATTCTGAAAAAAACCCGCAAAATTGAGCTGAAAAAATTGATAAAACTTGTTATGAAAACAAAGGGCATTGAACCCGGGTCGTTAGCATGAAAATCCAAACCGCTTACTATTACTCTATAAGAGCCAAAGGTCTAAATGTACTTGTATATACTTCTTCAACAGTACATTTGTTTTCGAATAATGAAAGGCAGGTCACTATTCATAATTATGTGTCAAACACCACGAGTAAATCTTCGCGCTTTTTCTTTGGAATGTTCCATTAAATAGGTGCGATAGCTTCGATGGAAATGAAACAAGAACGTTCTTATAGCTTAAATTTCAAGGTTAGGAAAGTATATTTAGCATATTTACAAATTCCATATCGTATATAGATAAATAATACTAAATCAGTGAATCTGGTAAACTTTTTACCTTTTTTTTTTTAAATTTCCTGTTCATCACCACTAAGAACATATTGATAAAATCAACTACAGTGAATCAGATAACATTTATGAAAAATGTTAATATGAACTCCATTCAACGATATTTTGAAAAATGTATTTTTTTTTCTTTTCTATTAGTTGAATATGACACAAGTCTGCATGAGCAAAACATAACTATGTACATCCATATTGTTTCTTGAAAACTATTAACTATGATTTAAAATCTAATATGTTCCATTTGGTGCGAAGCTTCGATGGAAATAACGTTCCACAAGGTTAAGAAAGTATATTTGCATATTTACACACATATCGTGATAAATAATACTAAATAGTGAATCTGGTAAACTTTTTACCTTTTTTTTTTTACCCACTATTGAAAGTCAGGGAATCAGATAACATTTATGTTCAATAATTTAAATCAGATCTTTGAGACAAGAATGTTAATATGAACTCCATTCAACGATATTTTGAAAAATGATTTTCTTATTTTTTATTCTTTTCTAGTAGTTGAATATGACAAGTCTTGTTACGTTTATTACTTACTATGTACATCCATATTGTTTCTTAAAAAATACTTAAACATTTTCCGAAACAAAAGATACTTATTTGCACATTTAGTCTTTTCTTTTTCTACTTTGAGAACCAGCCAAAACCAATTATAGAATATAACAAGGATTAAACCATAGTTTGACACAATAACGTAACAACAACGCGAGAATCCAAGTATTCCTTTACATTTCATTTATCCTATTTTACTTTCATTCAAGCAAAACCGTAAACTGAATTTGAAATGACGACACCACTATTGTTAATATCTAGAGTTAGGATTTATCAATATTCAAACAAATGATACACTAAGCATTAAAAGAAAGGTTTCTATTAGCATTCCAAAAATTAGTTAGAAAATACGGACATTCCGATAGCAACCGGAAGTAGTAACGACGCACAAAAAGGTGATTCCGCAAATCTAGAAGTGCATCATTCTAATAAGTCTCCAGTTAATATCTTAAAGCAAACATCAGAAAAGTTAGTATTCCAAATTTTCCTTGTCATGCCACAACTTCATATAATGACGCATAATTTGAAAGTTTCATTGAAAACTGAACAGTTTTCGAGAAATCGCCTGCACAAAAATTTGAAAAAAATAATAATAATAATAATAATAATAGAATCACTAGAAGGTGAAGACCTTAATAATGGTTGAGAGTGCATTTCAATAACAAACATAGGTAATAACCACTACTGAAATTGACCACTATTGAAATAATTATTTCATTAGTGGTTGAGAGTGCATTTCAATAACAAACATAGGTAATAACCACTATTGAAATACGACCACTATTGAAATAATTATTTCAATAGTGGTTGAAATTCATTTCAATAACAAACATAGGTTGCAACCACTATTGAAATAATGTTCACTTTTGAAATAAATTAAGATTTCAATATGGATAAAATTATTGATTTCATTAGTGCTTTGAACAATAATTTTGTAACAACTAATTTGGTTCGTGTTTTAAACCAGAGGCCATGAAATTCACAATTCACAATTTTGAAAGAGGCACCATTGCTTATCATAATTATTAACTTAGCATGCTTATTCTGTTTACTCAATACCCAGAGGTACATCAGAGCAACAAAGAGAAAATGCACTTCCACTTGCACCCAGTTGTGCACCTCACCCCAAAGCAACCACTGACCCAGGGGCCACATATTTCAAAATTTTGCAAATCTTATCATAAAATTGTTGATTAATACCAAAGAGCTGATTTAAAAGCATTAATTTATTTTCAGACTATGTAACAACCCCCCCCCCCTCCCCCGACCAAGGGGGGCATAAAAAAAACACTTTGCTAGATGCACCTTTCTTCATCATAAATATGTATACTTGGGTCATTGGCATAAAACCCAGAAGTAAAGGAAAATATTTCAAAGAATTATTGTATTTTTACTATATACTGTAAACCAATTTTTATTCGCGTGCGAGAAATTTTCACGAAGTTCGCGAGAGCCTCGTCATCGTGAATATTTCTTGCCATAAACCAGTACTTAAAGTCTCTGTTTCCATTAATAACAGAGCCAAAATCAGCTTGATCACAAAAACTAATCATCGCAAACTAGTTTACCCCCGGTAAATCGTGAAATAAAGTTGTCACGAATAAAAGCTGGTTTACAGTAATCAATACAGATCCGCCCTAACACCAGAACCCCTAACCCTGGGGCCATAAAATTCACAATTTTGGAAGAGGCACTCTTGCTCATCATATCTATGTACTTAGTTAGCAGGGTTGTGCAATTAGCATCGCCCGACGCCTGGGGCTACCATTTTTTGAGTTCGGGCCAGTGATTTTCTGCAAGGAGGTAGCCCATCGGGCTAGTAAAAATTTTAACTACACACGCAATACATGAAAAGCACAACCGGTATTTTCACCGGTTTTTTGCAATTTAATTCCCAACCAGTGAATATTTTCCAGACAACATGCTCCAACTGTCAATAAATCATAATAATCTTATCTGTTTAGCAGTATTACTTGACTTGTATACTTCCAAAAACGATCGTTTTTTTCTTAATCCGAATTTCCTCTAATCCTTCGTTTATGGTAAATACATGCAGATATCTCATTAAAATATTAACGATCACTCAATCAACTGAAAAATAAGTGTTTTGTGACACACATAAAATATATTTCTGGTGTATTTAATGATTAAACATGAAAACAAAATGAATTTAATTTCATTCTAAATGAGCTGCTGCTAGTGCAATGTTCAGAGAAAGGGAAGATAATTTAATATTTAAATTCATTTTAATTTTCTTTCGTGATAATTTAAGCGTGATTTTAAAATTTAATAGTGAGAATTATACATTAATCTTAAAAAGAATTAACTTAGTACCCTGACTTTTTCAACAATTAATTTCATTTTATTTAAATTTTTGCCCCTATATTTGGGCTAGTAACTTTTTACTTGGGGCTAGTAACTTTATAGCTGCCACTAGCCCGTGGGCTAGTAATAAATTTTTCTAATCGCACACCCCTGGATGGTTTATTTAATACCCAGAAGCATAGAAGAAGATTTTCAAAGAATAATGCATTTTTACTATATGATCAATAGAGCCCTACCCTAACACCAGAACCCCTGACCCTGGGGCCATAAAATTCACAATTTTAGAAGAAGCACTCTTAATCATCATAACGGTGTGCTTAGTTAAGTTTATTTAATACCCAGAAGCAGAGAAGAAGATTTTCAAAGAATTAATGCATTTTCACTATATGATCAATATAGCCCTGCCCTAACACCAAAACCCCTGACTCTGGGGCCATAAAATTCACAATTTTAGAGGAGGCACTCTTGCTCATCATAACTATGTACTTAGTTAGTTTATTTAATACCCAGAAGCAGAGAAGAATATTTTCAAAGAATAAATGCATTTTCACTATATAATCAATAGAGCCCCGCCCTAACACCAGAACCCCTGACCCCGGGGCCATAAAATTCACAAATCTGAAAGAGGCACTCTTGCAAATCATAACTATGTACTGAGTAAGTTTATTTAATACCCAGAAGCAGAGAAGAAGATTTTCAAAGAATTAATGCATTTTCACTATATGATCAATATAGCCCCACCCTAATACCAAAACCCCTGACCCTGGGGCCATAAAATTCACAATTTTAGAGGAGGCACTCTTGCTCATCATAACTATGTGCTTAGTTAGTTTGTTTAATCCCAGAAGCAAAGAAGAAGATTTTCAAAGAATAAATGTATTTTCACTATATAATCAATATAGCCCCGCCCTAGCACCAGAACCCCTGACCCCGGGGCCATAAAATTCACAAATCTGAAAGAGGCACTCTTGCTCATCATAACTATGCACTGAGTAAGTTTGTTTAAGGTAGATCGCAGGTTTGCTGACGTCACAATAGGATTTGACGTAAAAAGCTTACCGCGTTCAAATTAGCAAGCAAAAAATACAGCAGTGCTAAAAGTGAAATATATATTAAAGGCTGTTTGGTGTATTTAAATATTTTTTTGTATGTAATACACGCATAAATGATGTTTTGATCAAGTCTTTTACATACGTAGTTTTTAACGCTGAAATCTGTTGTGTGTACACACCTTTCTAAAATATCATTGCCTAATTTTTTAATACAATACAAAAACAGATCCACCGCCAGTGTG